GGAGAAAAAGGGAACAGCACTACTACTCTCTCAAGGGGAGAGTGCCTATGGATGTCTCGGCCACTCCTTCAAGAGGGGAGCACCCCGACCCTTGCCTAGACAAACTTTTATTGTTTTCCTGGGGTCTTAGATCAGAGAAATATTTATTACCTATTACATAGAATATTATTGTATACATTTTAGGTACAATCAAAGGAATGAAAATAACATGCAAAGGGGAATGGTGATGAGCTGATTAGCTTTGTCCTTGGGATAACTCATACAGGCTTTGGAAATTCCCTTGAAGATAGATAGACAATACACATTTGTTGTTTTAGACCAGGTAATGGAGTTTTAGCAAGAGCAAGCCATAACAGTCTGTATGCATTTTCTGGGCCTGATTCCCATGGGAAAACCCGGTTTGAAGGTCCAGCTCCTGCCCACCACCTCAATTCTGTAGGTTTTCCATACAGAGCTGAGTCACATTTGCCAGACTAAAACAAACCAGTGCCCTACACCATACCATCTTTCAGAGAAGTAACCTTTGCTCTTTACCTGGAAAGACTGCCATGAACAATTTGACCAAGCAAAGTACCAGGCCATTTTTCCAAAGGGTTTTTGGTCTTCAGAGTCAATCTTAATTCCTTACGGTTTTCTGATGACATTGGAAGTCCAGGCAAGACTCCTTTGATTATGACATTCCAGACAAAGACTTAGTTGATAAAATCACAATTGGAAACTGGCTTTATACATCCTGTTAAGAAAAAATCAAATTCTTACTGGATTTATGCAAACAAACATATTACTATGGAAAGAATAATACTCATTAAATGCTTCCAAATTCCAAGGGGATCAGGCAGAGAGAAAAGTATAAATGCCTTAATATTGTTTATAAAAGTATACTTTACCAACTTGCTTTAAGAAACAAAGTTTTTTTGTGTGTCTGAAAAACAAATAATTAAAACTTAACAATATTTTTCAACAAAAGGTTATAAAAGCTGCAATTATCTTCAGTTTATTATGTTCCATAATGAATTTCTCTTCATCCTGAATGTTTTCAAGAATGTCCATAAATTTAGTCAATTCACAGAGTTCCAGCAATCTTCAATCGATCCAAAGTTATGGTCTCAGTGCTCACTTAGGCAGCACATATACAAAGGTATGATCTGAAAATCTGTTCTCAGACATATGTGACCCAAAACAAGTCAGAGTCCTCTCCATGAACGCCTCCCAAACATGTTTTTGCAAATGCATTAAAGCAAAACAATGAGTATTTACAAAGGCCAAGACTTAAAATGTCAGGGTTACTGAGTTGAGTATAATGCAATTGACAAAGGAATTTGCTTTCCTGCAACAACATTTTAAGATAACAACTAAAGTTATAAATGAAAGTATATCAGAACTTATATAACCTCTAGAACAACTGCTTTACTAATAAAATGTGTGTAAATAAACAGAACATACTTATTATTTCTTTACTTGACAAAGCTTCCCATGTACTTTAAGCATATTAAGTAGTCTTATTAGTTCCAAAACTTCTCTTTTATAAAAATGGGAAACAAATACTTGTAATATTCCAGGGGCCCATTAGAATAACCTAAAGTCATTTCTCAATGACTTTAAAAAAACCCCTTAAACTCTGGCTAGTATGGCTTAGTGTGCTGAGTGTTGGCTTGTGAACCACAGGGTTGCTGGATCAATTCCCAGCCAGGAACACGTCTGGGTTGCAGGCCTGGTCTCCAATTAGGGGCAAGAAGCAACCACACATAGATGTTTCCACTCCATCACTTTCTCCTGCCTTTCCCCTCTGTCTAAAAAATAACTAAATAAAATCTTTATAAAATAAATAAATAAATAAAATCTCTTAAAATTTGAACTTTGGGAGAACGTTGTCAAACAAAGTTAACTAAAAATTATAAAATAAACTTTTTGTAAAACAACACATTTTTATGGTAATAACTTTAAAAGACATTAATCAAGCTTAAAACAGGTTTTCCCATCAAATAATTTGTCCCAACTATAAGCTCCTGTGTTCATTTATCAAAGTTTTTCCTTTCTTCAGGCTAATACAATATTACACCCTAGTTATGACATCCAGAGGCAGAAAACATACCATATGTGATGCACAGATGAACATTTATCACATAAAGACCACACAGAAGTCAACTGAACATGTAAAATCTACATACATTATTTGACTTACTAATTTGAGTAGAGAAAGCACACAGTGTTTTCATTGGCTTTTCTTTTTCTTTCTTCCCTCTACACAAGCCTTCTGCAACTTTCTCACCCTTCTTTTTTAACTCATCCAGAAATTAGGACAATCTACTTTTAATTCTATTCCTTTAAAATCTATTGCCATAGTTTACACCTTTATTACCAAAGTCATATATTTTCTCAACTTAAACATAAGTAATCAGCATTCTTTAGATTGATAAATTTATGAATACATTTCAGAAATCTCAACCCATTCACTAAACCTTTAGCAAAACAATTCTAACTAGTCTAAAATGCAATGTAAGTCAGTGGAGGGCTTCAGGCCAGGATTGAGGCATAGACACACTTGGCCTCCTCACACAATCAAAAGAAAGACAACAATATATTTAAAAACAAAAAACAACCAGAACTGCCAGCAAATCAAACTGTATGGAAGTCTGACAAACAAGGAGTTAAAGAAGAAACATTCATCCAGACTGGTAGGAGGGGCAGAGACGGGCAGGCAGGCTGGAGAGGATGTGCAGCAAGGCTGTGGCTGGAGGACAGGGGCAGGTGAGGTGGCGGCTGGTGGCTAGAGGAGCAGATAGTCCCACATGTGCATGCAGGTAAACTGGGAGGGGCAACTGGAGAGCGAGAGAGACCATGCAACCTAGGGTTCCAGTGTGGGGAGATAAAGCCTCCAAACCTCTGACTCAAAAAAAACTTGTGGGGTTGCAGTGGTGGGAGAAACTCCCATCCTCACAGCAGAGTTGTTGGAGTGGCTCACAGGGTACTGGAAGGTACACAAACCCACCCACCCAGCAACCAGCACCAGAAAGGCCCAGTTTGTTTGTAGGTAGTAGAGGAAGTGAAAGAAAGCACACTGAGAGCTCAGCAAGTGGTATTGTTCCCTCTTGGATCCCTCTGCCACATACAGCACCACTATGCAGCAACGTGGGCTGCTCTGCCCTGATGAATAACTACGGCTCCACCCCCTTACTAGTAAGAGGCACACCAAGATAAAAAAAATATATATGGTCCAAGTAAAAGAACAAATCAAAGCTCTAGAAAAACACAGCTAAGTGATGAAGAGATAGCTAGCCTATCAGATGCACAGTTCAAAACACTGGTGATCAGGATGCTCACAGAATTGGTTGAATATGGTCACAAAATAGAGGAAAAAGTGAAGGCTATGCAAAGTGAAATAAAGGAAAATGTACAGGGAACCAACAATGAGCAGAAGGAAACTGGGAGTCAAATCAATGGTTTGGAGCAGAGGGAAGAAATAAACATTCAACCAGAACAGAATGAAGAAACAAGAATTTTAAAAAATGAGCAGAGGTTTAGGAACCTCTGGGACAACTTTAAACATTCCAACACCCGAATCATAAGGGTGCCAGAAGGAGAAGAGGAAGAGCAAGAAATTGGAAACTTATTTGAACAAATAATGAAGGAGAATTTCCCCAATCTGGCAAAAGAAATAGACTTTCAGGAAGCTCAGAGAGTCCCAAAGAAGTTGGACCCAAGGAAGCACACACCAAGGCACATCATAATCAAATTACCCAAGATTAAGGATAAGGACAGAATCTTCAAAGCAGCAAGAGAAAAGGAGACAGTTACCTACAAAGGAGTTCCCATCAGACTCTCAGCTGATTTCTCCAAAGAAACCTTGCGGGCAAGAAGGGCCTGGAAAGAAGTATTTAAAATCATGAAAGGAAAGGAGCTACATCCAAGAATATTCTATCCAGCAAAGCTATCATTTAGAATGAAAGGGCAGATAAAGTGCTTCCCAGACAGGGTAAAGTTAAAGGAGTTCATTATCACTACACCCTTAGATAAGTTAAAGGGACTTATCTAAGAAAAAGAAGATAAAAATTATGAACAGTAAAATGACAACAAACTCACAATGATTAATAACCAAAACTAAACAAAAAGAAAAAGTGAACTAAGCAAACAACTAGAACAGGAACAGATTCACAGAAATGGAGATCACGTGGAGGGTTTTCAGTAAGGAGGGGCAGGGGGAACATGGGGGGGAAGCACAGGAGAATAAGAAGCATATTTGGTAGGCACAAAATAGACAGGGGGAGAGTAAGAGCAGTATGGGAAATGGAGAGGTCAAAGAGCTTATATGTATGACCCATGGAGATGAACTAAGAGTGGGCGGGGGGTGAGGAACGCTGGCAGAGGCAGGTACAGGGTAGAGGGGAATAAAGGGGGGGGGAATGGGACAAGTATAATAGCATAATCAAGAAATATAACTTAAAAATAATAAGTAATAAAATGCAATGTAAGCCCCTTCTTTCCAAAGCAGAAACAAAAATAAAATCTAAAGAGAAAGCAAAATTTCAAGAAGGGATTTAGGACTAGCCTTTGAATCTTATCTCCTTATTTTTCTCACTAACATAAACTCACCCACTAACTCCTGCGCAGTTGCTTTAGCTGCTTCTTTCCCCCCACGCAGGGAGGTCCTCTGCAAGACCCACAGGGGAGCTGGGAGCATGCCCCCAATACTGGGGTGCCACACTGGGATTACCCCCACTAATTCCAGGATTACGCCCTGGCTTTCCTCACCCAGCACGTTATCATATGCATTCTACTCAACAGGTTCATTTTCCAGAATATTCTGTTCGTGAAGCCGATTGTAGCGCAGGAGCTCCAAACCGAGGAGCTGCTTCCGTGTTCCTGGGATTGAGAACCTAGGGGTGCTGCAGATGGGCAAATGCACAGGTGCAGGAACTGACAAGCCCTGTGTGAAGAGAACTGTTGGAAGCTTCTTTCAAATCCTTCGGCAAATACAAAGTTATTAACTGAAACAGAGTGGCTTTCAGTTTCCATTTAACTTGCATCTGAGCTCCACCCCCTGCCCTTTTGAATTTTGCTTCCCTCGCAGCTGCCTGCCAGACTCTGCAGAAGTCTCACCCGACGAGCCATGGCCGCCTTGCAGTCTCCAGGGAGCCCCAGTCTAGGACTGAACTGCGTGCTGATCCTGATCTTTACGGTCCTTCTGCAGTCTGTCTCTGTGGCTGTGACTTACTTGTATTTCAACAATGAACTGAAACAGGTCAGTACAATGTACATGGGTGGACAGACGCTGCCGGCCCTCTCGGGTTAACTGCCTCTCCTTCGCCTCTCTACTTGCTCCTCTTTGAAAACTTTATAGTGTAGAAAATGTTCTCTTCCTCAGCCTGTGGACCCTGACTGCTAGCATGTATTGACGTGCATTAATAGTTACTGAGAACTTTGTAAGGCACTGTGTGAAAATGCACAGCTGTACAACTCGCCCTACCAGTTACTGACAGACGCAGGCAGAAAAACTCCTGAGGTGTTTTTTTGTCTTCAGCTGTGCATGCATTTTATATCAGCAGTTGCTATCATTCACTGAGTGCTTTCTTGCTAAATGTTTTCTAGGTCTTGACTCTAATTCTTGGGGGTCAGAGTAGTTGCATCAGAACAGGATCTGTCTGCTTTTGCTCACTCGCCCACCCCTGGGGCTAGCACGTAGCTCCTAGACAGTGGTGTTGATTAAATAGTTGTTGAATAATAACTGACCTTCACAAACGTGGTGATATCATTAGTACACAAGGAGCAGGGGAGTGTCTGAGTTCCACACAAAGGCAAGTTCTAAAACACAAACAATAATGGTGTTGTCTTAGGTGTGGCTAATTCCAGTGGATTTGCAGGCAAACTAGACTTAGGCTTTGCACAGACAGAAATGCTCTCTTTACAGATTGTTTGCTTATCCTCTGGCTTCAGAGCTGGTAACCAATGCCAGATTCTTCCTCACACCTTTCTTTTAAATATCTTAAATTAGTAGATGGAAAGGCTTCACACATACAAGTCAGGCTTCCAAAAGTTAGAAGGTAGAATAATACACATTGAATTGAAATCAGAACTGAGCTTTGGTTTCTCTTTTTTCCCTCCAAGACATGGAGTGGAGACAGATCAGATCTTTGAAATATGTTTTGGTTTTAGGTCTGTGGTGTTTGTGTGTTGACCGTAGTGAGAATATGAAGGACTAGCCTTCTGCCTGTTCCTCCCTGGCCACAGGCGTGCAGTGGGCAAAGTCTGTAACACAGTGGCTATCGGGCGAACTCACATTTTATTGTTCATCATAAAATAATTGAAAATAAAACTACCATTCTGTGCCTATGGAATGTCCAGGTATGAATCCACGTACACCTGAAGGAGAAAAAAAAACAGTGCCATTTTAATTTGTGTATTTGTTAACTATATATAACTTTTGGAACTATGAATGCAAAATGGTTGAAAGTAAGCCAACTCAACCTTTTGGCTTCTCATATATATTTTGATTAATCTATCAAGAACTGTAAGGTGGAAGGAACTTTGAACACCCCTCATTTAATAGATGAGGAAACTAGAAACTCCCAGAGAAATTACTTATGGAAACTCAGACAGGGCTTTGGAAGCAGAGCTGGCCCCGAGCCTTTGGGCACCGAGGCTCATCCGTCCACAGCAGGGCATCCTCAGGGTTATCACACTTGCACCCTGGATGCACACTGTGCCCTGCTACGTTATGATAAGGCAACATCAAATTGCCAGCTGGCTAGAAAATGCAAGACTAAAGGTCTCAGAAAAATATAAATTGCACAGAAGCCATAGTGAGTTTATCTGTTAAGGAAATGTAGTTTGTATATACTGTAGATATAAATTTGGTTGTGTCAATGGATTAGAAATGAATGAGGTAGAATCTTGTTTGATTTCTAGGAAATTATGAAAATGATGGCTGCCACGAGATGACCAGTAAAGTCAGTTTTATCAGAAGGATCATTCAGAACAGCCTGTATATTTGTAAGAAAAAATGTAACTGTCACCATGTCTTCAGTTCCGAGTTTGTGTAAGAGACTGGGGTACTGCCATGTTGGTCTGTTGGAAGCCAGCATATCTAACCTTTGTTAGTTTTGCAGCATAAACAGGGTGAACCTCTGTGTACACAAGTGTGTCCCTCAATTTGCTTACATTGCAAGTTGGTCAAATTTTAAAACTAAACTAACTGGTTCTTGATCGAGCTGACTCATGCAATTTTCTGTATATGATCAAGTTGTTTTGAATTCAACTATAAAAATGGAAATTTCAAAAAAAGCTTAACATCTCTCTGCTTGTACATTTTTTGATTGCATAGTGTGTATGTATACATATATGCAAAGATGCAGAAAAATTCATTGAGAGTGCCAGAAAGGCAGGAGAATTAACAGATCCTAAGCAAGTATTATGTTCTAGATAGAAGCCTTGCAAAGTATTACCCTACTTCACCCTTATAACAATCATATAAAGAAAACATAATGACCTCATTTTATAGGTAAACAGAGGCTCCAGGAAGTGATTTGTCCAAAACTAAAAAGTAATTTAGAAAAAGTAAAGCCCACTTTTGAACCCAGGCCTTACATAAGTGCTCCGTAAACAATAGCCATTGTTATTACTAGTGAGAATTTCATGAAGTCAACACCCTCTTCCTGAGGAAACTTTGCAAAGGAAAATGAAACAATCTCCTTGGGTGTCTGTAGAGTTTGGAAAAGCAATACTCAACATGTGGCAATTTTCTGAAATAGTTCACAGTGTAGGTTTTAGCTCATGAAAATTTGCAGGATGATAGGGAATGGGAGTCTGAGTAACATTGGACTGGACCTTCACAAATGCAGTGGTAGAACCGCAAGCATGAACAATACGTATGGACTCTGCCTTCAAAGTTTCTGTCTCTGAAAAAGTTTTATGACAATAGGACTGCCTATCACTGTGGCATCATGGATAGGGAGGGAAAAGAGAAGGGGACCCTTCCCCACCAATCTCCATAAATGATCCTTTATGCTATTTGTGGTTTACAGAAAATGATTGTCAGACACTAATGCCTGGGCAGCAGAGAGAGAGGGTCATACTGCCACCTCAAAGTCTCTGAGCCAGCTGGCCAAGGAGTCCACCCTTCTGACATCAAGCCCTGCCAAGGACTGAGTGGTCCTGGCCTAGACAGTGGCACCCATGGCACCATTGGCAGTTGTAGAATCCACTTCACAGAGCCAGGGGCTCTGGGACAGAAGAGCGGGTGCCCAATGCACAAGCTGTCTGTCTTTCCTGAGGCGTGCAAACGAAAGTAGTGCACACACGCTCTTGGCCCCAACACGTAGGAGTGTTTAGTGAGAGAAAAGCTCCTGGGAGGTACAGCAATAACCACACCTTGAGGTGGAAAGGAAGAGGTGAGAAAGATACATCACATTAGTAATCATTACTCATTTTTGAGATAACCCAGAAGTCTTTCTCTTTCCCATCTGTCTAGTTAACAGAATTGGGTGAGGTCTGTAGAAGAAATTACCAAAAATGACAGTGCAGGGAGCCACGTGGGGATGGGGAGTATGGCTGGGCTTTTCTTTCTGCATTTCTATTATTCAGAAATTAGTATTTATGCATAAAAATGTCTAGAAGAAGAACCACCAAAATGTTGACAATTGCGATCACTAGATGGTAGGATTATGGTAAGATTTTTTTTCCCTTTTTGTCTGCATTTTATACATTTTCTACAGTGAATGTCATAAAGATATCTATGCTACCCATATATGATTTTCATACAGATTTAAGGAACACGACTTTTTACATAGTCTTAAGAGAAAACAACAATACACAAAATTGCCCCCACTCAGTCAGATCTCAACCCTGTACACAAAAGAGATCATCCAAAATATAACTAGGAGATGGGATTAGGTTATTTTAGCAGGGTTTTGTTTGTTTTGTTTTTAGAAAAGTGTTTTTTTAATTATCTCTATTTTCTAGGTTGCCTGTGTATCCTCAATGTTTCTGGGCTTCCCTGAACTTGAGGTAGCAATGGTGTCACAGTAGCTTGTCGACCTCCCTCCCATGTAAACCGAGGACGTACTCAATTTTCAAGGTTCTGAAAGTTTCTGAAAAATTCCCAGAGGATATCCAGAGTCACTAAGCAGCAACTGACCCCTGCTTCTGGCCCCTGCTCCAAACCCACCTCTCTCGAACTCTGCTTCCTTTCACAGTAACAGTATATCCTGACACCAAGCAGCTCTGGGCTCAGCCTTTTCCTGCCCCTCCCCCCCCCCAGCCTCCCGTTCTTGACAGCTTCCCTCTGCTGTGAAGTGGGAGGCCAGGTTGCTCTGTCCTTTCTGTGTCACATACATCTTTCTGTACTCTGCGTTATAGAAGCTTGCAAACCTGTTTCTTTAGTTTCCTCAGGCCAGTGCCTGGCCAAGCTACACTCACAGTGAATAGGCTGGGATAGAGCCAAACAAAGTCCTTCTTCCTGGAACCACCCTGAGGCCAGAATTTCCTCCCTGATCCTTCCCCCACCCCCACTCTGCTAGGCAAGTTCTCATATTTCTAAGGCACATGCAATTAAGTTTCTCTTTTGGAAAGGCTTTTCAGTTCCTACATCAATTGCAGATGTCAATAGATGCCTAAAATAGAAGACTCTGGGTGAGCAGGGGCAAAGAAAGCCTCTCTAACTCCATTGCTAGTCATGTCTCGGCTCAGGTGGCCACAGCTGTCACCTTGACTGCACTGACCAGGAGAATGCTGTACTCTGGTAATTAAATGAAGGAAGGAAGAAAACAAACATTTAAAAGTAAATGAATGTCCTATGCCAGAGTGTGTGAGAGGAATTAACTCAGGTGTTTATTTTTGCACTTGAGTGACCTTAATCAAACGTCCATGGGGTACTTGGCTGGGCACAGAACCGTGTGGCTCTGGCTGGGACCTCTTGCAAGCAATTACTTTGATTTGGAACGATATCATCTTTCCATAGGAAGGTCAGTCAGGTAGTTTTGTACCAGGAAATAAGATCTCCTAAATTTCAATGGTTAAAATGGAAACAAAATTTAAATGATAATTCTGACCTTGAGTGAATTTGCTGTTTTTCTATGTAGATTAACCAGTAATCAGGCTGAAGTGCTCTGGTTGGTTAGGGAAGTATGTGCACACCTCTGTGTGTTCACATGCATGTGTGTGTGTGTGTGTGTGTGTGTGTGTGTAGGGAGGGGGCATGTGTGTTTGACATCAAGTGAGGGCTTTGTTGACAACAATGATCTGGCCATTATAAATGTTTATTCTCAAGCAGGATGCGGTAGCAAAACTTCAAATACTCTTTGAAATTGTAACCAGAAAATACACCAGTGTTCCAGCTGCCTGTCACTACCAGATCCAATAAGCAATGACAGTGATTGAATCTTTTATGGGTGCTTCATTCAGATGGCTGGCGATCCGAGAGGATGGTGGGTTCATAACCTAACAAACCATCTTGTATTTTCTTTCTAGGCCAGACCTTTTTATAAGGTGGGGGTGAGTGGATAAACATGGAGGGCTTTGAAATTCAGGGAGGATTAGGTAAGCAAAGCTGCAGCTTTCCTATTCTGGGCAGTTAGCTGTTCCCAGGGGAGGGTGGTCCTCTGCTCTCCCTGGAACACAAAGGCCCAGATGTCCTCAGGCGGGAATCTTCTATCAGTGCCCCAGGAGGCTGGCTGTTTTCCCTGGAGCCAGGATGGGCCTTATCTGTAGTTTTTGAAACAAAAGCTTTTAACATACACGGTACTTGCTAGATATATAGCTTTTTTAAAATTAATTTTATTTAGTTATTTTTCAAGTACAGTTTTTTGTTTATTTCTCCCATCCCAGCCTCCCCCACCCCTTGCTCCCCACCTCCCTCTCATTTCCACCCCCCTTAGTTCTCGTCCCTGTGTCCTTCCTATTTGTTCCTCCAAATCCCTCCCCCTTTTCCCCTTAACTTCCCTTCCTTCTCCCCTCTGGTCACTGTCCCCTTGTTTTCTATTTCAGTGTCTTTGTTGTTTTTTTTTTCTGCTTGCTTGTTTGTTTTGTTGTTTAGCTTCCTGTTAAAGGTGAGATCATATGGTATTTGTCTTTCAGCACCTGGCCTATTTCACTCAGCATAATGCTTTCCAGTTCCATCCATGTTGTTAACTTTTTTTTTAAGCTAAAAGTCTCCAAGTCTTGAGTCCCCTATCAAAATCTGTACAGGTAAAAAAATCCCTAGTTAGTGTGGATATTTAATGAGGCAGTATTCAGATTTTTAGTGGCAATATGATCCAGACACGGCCATCCAAGAGAAGTAGAAATCTCAAGAACTACTCTACTCAGGCAGCCAACGTTCAGATCCAGTAACAGAACACTACCTGCTCCCCAGACTGTTTGGCTCATTTTTCATTTAGAATCATTACATTTAACAGACTTCACTGCCTACTTTGTACTTAGGTGAGTTTCCAGCTTTACAATGGGATCCACACTATGTTAGAACTGGAAGGGACCTCAACGGTCACCACAGTGAACCAACTCAAAACTCAGGTGAAGAACAGACCCAGAAGACAAGCAGCTCTTTGTTGAGGGACACACCGCTGACTAATGGCAGGGGCTGTCAAGGGCCTTGTGACCCAGAGTGCCTGGCCCACACTTGCGCCGTGTCCACCATATCCAACTGCTTACTTTTATTTAAAGGGCAAAGAACAGCCTGCCTACTTTAATTTTAAGCTGTCAGTATATCCAGGGTGCCAAGGCGACCCTGGGTGTTTCATCAGTGTCTGCAGTTTTAACTTCTAAATGGGCAAATATGAAAAGCATTCGTGAGTGATATTGTGTGATGTACCATCTCACCCTAGGTGCAGGAGAAGTTGTCCAAAAGCGGCATTGCTTGCTTATTAAAGGAAGATGATGGTTCCTGGGACCCCTATGATGACGACAATATAAACAACCCCTGCTGGCATGTGAAGTGGCAACTACGTCAGTTAGTGCGAAAGGTAGGTGAACTATCAGGTCACTTCACCAGCCAGCGCAGAAGGTCGGAGGAGAAGGAATATTTAAGATCATCATGTCTAGACTCCTCATTTTGCAACAGGAGAAACTGAGGTCCAGAGTGTTTAGGGGTTTTTCCCTAAATTCAGAGAACTAGAAAAAAGTGAAACAGCATCAAACAGTGGGTCCTAGTCAACTCCTGGTCTGGAGCTTGTGCCTCCCCATTTAGTCTAACCTTTGTATCTGACATTGTGGAAACTGAGGCACAGGCAGAGCTATATGTTCAAGGTCACACAACAATGAAGGATGTGTGTGATTTTTTTCTATTCAGAAGACAAAAGAGGCCAAATAATGGTGTTCTATATTTTCCCCAGATGTTGACCTCTGAAAATATATATTTACTTTTATGCACATAGAGACGAAGAAAAAGGAAAGGAAGAGGGAAGGAAGAGATACAGAAAAACCGAAGGTGATGACATCTCAATTTATAGTTATTAAATGACAAAGTAGAGTATTATCTGTGTATGGAAATTGCTTAAATGGAATCTCTAGCAGAAACATTATGTTAGCTAACAGTTTATTTCACTAAATACAATTACATAATAATTCAGCACTGTGACATGTCAAATTAAGTTCCTTCTCTAGAGCTCTTCCTTCTTCATGAGATGGTATTTAGGAATACTTACCTTCTGCCTACTCAGAAAAGTCTGATGAGAACACAGATATCAAAGCGCTCTGTAAAGTAGGAAGTCCCATATTTGATTTTTAAAAAATACTGGGACATTCCTAGAATAGGAGGAGAATGTGTTTTAATGACATGCTGCGAGTCCACTGTTTGGTTCTCAGTATGGCTTTTCATAGAGTTGGTGTTTTATTGGTGCTTTGGGATCCGACTCACAAACCTAAACAGTCCTCACCATAGAGCCCAGGTATCAGCTATGATGCTATTTCTATGGGAAATGAAATTGGACTTCCACCTGGGAGTGTCCTGGAAAGACCTGTGCTGTGCGGCCACCCTGGAAATGGGCCCGCTGCGCACACGCTGTACTGGAGCAGCTGCGACTTCATCACCCCGAGTGACAAGGCGCAGGGCTGGGAAGGGTCCTGAGGAACCTACAGATGGGATGCCACAGACCCTGGGATTAAGGGGGTGGCAAACCCACAGCTTTGGGGACTGAGGCGGGAAAGGGAAACTAGATGCTGGAGCTGGGAGTGGGGAGATAAGAGTAGTGGGGATGGATTTACATATCAGTCTCCTGCTATTCTCCCTGTCCCTCCCATTCTCACATCCTGCCACTGACTAGAATAGAGAAGCCGGGAGAGGACGGGGGGGGGGGGGGCGCTGAGAGTGTAGGGGCGAAGGACTTCCCCTTCTTTTCCAGGCGCCATTAACTAAACAGGCTATTTCCAGTAAACATCCTATAACCGTTACATTTGCTGTCTCCTTTAATTTTCACAAAGCTCCGTGAGGAAGAAATCATTATCTTCCTCTTCTTCTTTTTAAGAAATAGATAAAGAAGTTAATGTTTATATCAGTGAAGTGACTCGAGAAGTTTCCCAAGCTACTAATTGACAGATTTGAATCTAATTATTACTGTAGGCTGCCTCCCACACTGTGGGAGAGTTACTCTTCTTTCTGCTGCTCAGCCTTCTCCCTTCCTTTCTGTCCTGAAATGACAGAGAGAGAGAGAGAGAGAGAGAATATGCTGAGGCCACCTCTCACTGTCCCTTCTCATACACCGGTGCCCATAGGACTGGCAGTCCCCCCATTATCTGGAGTCAGGGCTTGATGCAGATGGGGAAGCAGAGAGCTTCTGATCTGAGATGGGGGTGAGAGGAGGGAGTTTGGGGTAGCTGCACAATTAACAACAGTGATGGCAAAGGAGGCCAGTGACGAACCAAGTCCCCAGGGGTGACAGAATGGAATGGAGGGTAATTTAGAAGCTATGGATGAGCCCAGAGAGGGTCTGCTTAATTAACAGAAAGTCTCAGTGTTTACTCTTGTTTACTGGGTTTTCCCACTGGTTAGTACAAAGAGGGTAATACTAGATTTTTAGAAAAGGTATGGGGACTTGGACAAATATCTTTGAGAATGCCTCAGCCACAATCTCAGGAATGAGAGGATGACATGTATGGCCAGGTCACACCTCAGCCTGAGCTGTGTGTATCTCTGGGCATTGAGAGATAGGAGGTGTGCCTTGTGTCATGAGGTTTGGGTCTGCCCAATAGTTTAAAGCCCCTGGGCTCTATTACACAGATCACTCATACACATGCGTGCACACACACACACTCCCCACTCAGAGACCTCGAGGTGACGTGTCTGCCACAAGGAGGGAGGTCTGGCAAAGACTAGGCGCACCTAACTTAGCAGATAGCTCCTCACTCCTGTGCTGCTCCAGGTGTGGGCTTTCAAAGGCATCCTCCAGAAACAGAACTTTCCCAGACAGAGGACCCTTCCCGATCAGCACGTGAGGATGGCTGCCTCAGTGTTCACCCCGGCTCACACCCTGCCCGCTCACAGTCTATGCTTGAACAGCGTAAATCCTAGGTTGACACCTTACACAGAAACCTGGTAGACATTAGGAAGAAGGGCCGTAGACATTCTATAGTCAGTTCAAAATCTTTAGGGAAATTAACAACCTTTATTCGATACTATTTGCAGATGGTTTTGAGAACCTATGAGGAAACCATGCCTACAGTTCCAGGTAGTATTTTTTATTGTTGTTATTTTAACTTTCTGCTGTCAACTTCGTGGCAGGGTGAATGACCCTCCACCCTCCTTCACTCTGCCCCCATCCACACATCCTGCCCCTGACCTGCTGCCTGATGTTTCAAGCTACTTGATTCTATTTCCTTTTTTGCACTGGTAGCTAGAAAGCTCAGAACCAAATCTGTGGCCCACTTACAGCCAGGACTTTATTTCAGCTGAATCCTATTTTTCCAACATGGATTTTCCTTTCACCTGAACTTCTTCAGTCATTCTTTTTTACCTTCTAGTGTATTGTACACAAGCCATCTAAATGCTTTCTAGAACATGGCTGGAAGTAAGATAAACGAGGGCCCCCAAATTACCCATCTTCTCTGCTTCTGACCACCACAGGTCTACGCCTTTCTTTATGCAGCAACCCCTCTCCCCCTCATCCCTTTCCCAACAATCACCCACACGCCCGCAGTTCTCATCCTGTGGTCCCCACACCACAGCCACCTTCCTGTTCACACCCCACACCTCCAGCAGTGCTGTTGCCCAGGCTGGCTTCTTTGGGCCTCCATGTGGCTTCTTTCATTCCTAGCTTTTTACAAAACTGGCACCTTCTCATCCTCCTTCCTCATCACCTAATTGTCAGATCTTCCCTGGCGATGTAAGTTCCTCTATATATTTTTTTCTATTACACTTACTTTGTTCATTTTTTTCATTTTCATATCTTTTAGTTAAAACTATGAACATTAAAATGACAACAAACTCACAACTATCAACAACTAATTCTAAAAAATAAAAACAAACAAAAAAAAGAATTTGCTTTCAGATCTTGGCTTTCCCATATCCTTGCAGTGACTTCTAATGCAAGAATTTATAATTGGATTTTGTTATTGAATACTGGAAACCAAGTGCTAAGGTCTAGGGGCAGGCAGGACATTGTGAATTATTTAACAATGGGGGTTATGAAGAAATGGACAGGCGCTTCAACCTTGAAAGTTGAGCACCTTGAGAATAATATGCAATTGACTGTGCATCCCCGTGCCATGTTTGGTCTTCAGCACTGTATATGTGTTCACCCATCCTGAATAAGTAACAATTAATACAAAATTAGAAGAAGTGATGAGAGAGTCTCATTTCCCACTCGTTTTCCCCTGTGGAATTTTATCACCTTCTCTTAGTTCCTTCCTTCCACTACTAGCCCAAGTTGAGGCCTCTTGCTCTCAGTCCTGCAACTGTGGTCTGGTAACTTGCCATTCTCCAGTCCTGTCACCTTCTATCCATCAAATCTTATTTTGAGAGATAGATTAACCTAAAGCACAAAACATACCTTTTTGTTCCCTGATCAAAACCTTTTAGAGTCTTCCCACACCCTCTAAAACCCAAATTTCTTAGCCCCGCATTCAGATCCTTTATACTCTGGCTCATCATTCAAACCTGACACTGAACTCCTCTCCTTCCTGAGTTCCAGGAATGCTTTGCGTGTCTTGCTTCTGCCTTTTCCCTGTCCCGATTGGCTCAAAGGCTTGTCATCCTCACCCTGTGAAGGTGCAAGGATAATTATCCTTGCAACACTTTCTTGCACTTGTTTGTTTATAATTCTTTGGTCCTGTCCCTGGAAGAGTACCTGTCTTAGATGTGATGGGCACTTTGATTTGCTGGAGTAAGGGAATAAAAAGGTTTTAGCACAAATCGTCCCCTGACCTCAGCTTTCCAATAAATAGGAATCTTTGCTTCCTTTCAAACGATATCCCCCTTTATTTCCAATAGAAGATTTCACTTTCTAGTTCATATTTTCCTTAGAAGACTGTTTAAGTCCCTTGAGGGCTTAGTCAGTGTAATAAGTGATTAATCTTTGCTGCCCCTGTAGGATGGAGTGCAGTGCTTTGTTCCTGGCAATATATGCTTGATAAAAGAATATAATTTATTCCTTTGAAACACCAATTTGAAAAACCAACGTAAACACATTTGGGAAGTTTGAGCAGATTTTTTGAAAGAGTACTTCATTGAATCTGTATTTTTTAAGGCTGCTCCAAAGGACTTCAGTGGTGGTCAATAAGTTATTTGTTTGTTATGATCTAGTGAACAAGCAATTTATGTGCTCATGTGCTGATTATTGTGAACAGTGTGTCAGTTCACATTCCTTTTGGAAGCTCGGGGGGAGTGGCTGATGGATACCAGCCTGTAGCACATATGGACAATTGTGATCACTGCCACCCTTTAGAATTCTAGTAGCTGGCAAAGAGGGAAACATAGAGATTATGAAATTGGTATAATTCTGATTCTATATATAGAAACTCAATATAGAAATTTGCCAATACCTGGTTATGTGTGCACTTTATCAATTTATTTTTAGAGAGAGCAGGAGGAAGTGAGAAAGAGAGGGAGACAAACATTGATGTGAGAAAGACGCATCAGTTGTTGCCTTGCTTATGCCCCCACCACCCAGGGATGGAACCCAAAACCCAGGCGTGTGCCCTGACCAGGAATCAGACTGGCATCCATGTGCTTTGTGGCACGACGCTCCAACTAACCGAGCCACACCAGCCAGGGCTATTTGTGCACTTTAATGACTCAGCAAGATAATTGCAGGTCCACAGATTTTGGTTTGTTTGTTCGGGTACTTTTGGAAAAGGGCCATAATCTTCACTTTGTCACATTCACCGTAATTACTTCTAAGACACTAATAAATTATAACCCAAATTACTGCTTATTCTTCTCATCAAAAGTACTTTTCAAATTAAACATAAATTGAAGTAGACTGATCATCATACATAAATGTAGGCTGTTTTTTGTGAAATCATGTCATCAGTGTGGGAAGCCCTGAGCACTCAAATGTGCGATTGGTGGTAGCTGTAGACGTTGATGTGATGTTTGAGAGGTAGTTGGACACGCGCTGATGATTCTTTGTCATTTCGCTTTTAGAACGTCAACAGATCGGTCCTCCACAAGTAAGAAGAGAACTTCAGAGAGGAGCGGCTCACATAACAGGGGGCAAACAGAGAAGAAACACACCCCCAGTGCCAAGTAAGAGACACAACTAACATGGTTTAAAGAGAGGCAATGGATGAATTTGTTCCAAAGAATTTATTTTTTTCACTTGTACCTGAAACATGTATGTAGCCATCTACAAAATGCACAGCTGTAATCAGGTCTCAAACTGACTCTTTTCAGAAGCAAGATTACAAGACAAATGGCTCAATTATTGCCCCAATATAACTGGTCTCCGGAAAATTACAAGTGGGAAAACTTGGCCTTTGAGTTTCCCATGTCTCCATTTTTGCTTTTTCCTTCTTCTTTAATTTCTCTTTCTCATTTTTATCAAACCTTCTTCCTCTTCAAAGTCCTAAATCCGTCATTAGTCACAGAGCACTCCTTGTGACACTTACTCAGGTTGAGCTGCAAGCAGTTGCCAATACTTGACTCATTTTTACTTACAGAAGTGTCAGCGTCACGCAGTTTAACCGAACATGTTAAACCCGCTGTCAAACTGCAGAGCAGGTGTCCGCCGAGTGCTGTAGTTACGCGCATGCGTCTTGCAGTCTGCTCACCCCACTGGGATCCCAGCTCCTCCTTACCTAGACGTGTGTTTTGAGCAAATTACTTAACCTAATCAAGCTTCAGTTTCTTAAACAAAATAGAGATAATCTTTAACACATAAAACAGTAAAGATTAGCACATGCAAAGTGCCTGGTGTATTTTACGTACTCACTAAATAGTCATGTTTGTTATTGTGAAGGTTTTGTCTTAAAGAAATTTCAGGCATCAGTTAATGGGGTGCTTTGATGAGGGTTGTTGTTTTGGATTTTTCTAGGCATTTGCCTTCCTGTTATTACCGAAGTTATGTTTTATAAATAATTAACAAGTTCTGCTTATGAGTGAGATAATTATTGTGATGTTACTGTTCACTACTTTTCAACAAATATGATAGTTATTTTAAACTCTTGAAAAACTAAATTTTGTTTCAGTCATGGAGATGAGCCCAAAGTTTGAAGGAATGTCATATTTTGTAGGGCCCTTTTTTATTCAGTCTCTAGGACTTAAAGATCTAAGGATCTGAAGATCTTTAAATGAGAGATGTTTTGCCAAACCTCGTTCTCTGTCTTACTGTGGACTAGAGATGCCTTCAGCTTGGATGCTGCCTTTGGTTCCTGAGAAAGACCAAAGAGGGAATCCAAAGAGATCCAAAGAAATAGCAAGAAGTTCTGAGCTTTAGGCTTAAGGACGTAGAGGTGTTCCTTTTGGCTTCTATATATGCTCCCTGTGTGAGCTCACAGCGCAGGAAGGGAGGTAGGGGTTCAGGACAGAAGTTCTGCCCAGGAGTATAGTGAACCACACCTGCACTACTATTCAGAAATAAGTACAGTAGGTGTGGTGTAAGTGGAGAACAAGGTACGGAAAATTAAGATACTCTCCCACAGGTCTCAATAATACAGAGGCCTTCAGGTTTCTATATGACCAGAGTTTCAGATCCTTGAAAGATTAGAGGAGCAAGAAGTTGTATATTTGATTGAAATCCTTTGCAATACCAACCAAAAAATAGTCTAGGGACAGCTATTAGACATGCCTTGCTTTGCTAGGAACTGCCTTTTGTTAACTTGTTTTCTCTCCAACCTTCATCCAGACTCCAAGAATGAAAATGTTTTTGGCCATAAAATAACCTCCTGGGAGTCATCAAGAAAAGGACATTCATTTTTGAATAATATGCACCTGAGGAATGGAGAGCTAGTCATCCATCAAACGGGGTTTTATTATATTTATTCCCAAACATACTTTCGATTTCAGGAACCTGAGGATGTTTCAACAGTAGGGAACAGAAGGAAAAACAAACAAATGGTACAATATATTTACAAATTCACAACGTACAATGACCCTATACTGCTGATGAAAAGTGCCAGAAATAGTTGTTGGTCTAAAGATTCAGAATATGGACTCTATTCCATTTATCAAGGTGGAATATTTGAACTTAAGGAAAATGACAAAATTTTTGTATCTGTAACTAATGAAGACTTGATGGACATGGACCAAGAAGCCAGTTTTTTCGGGGCGTTTTTAATCGGCTAGATGATCTGCAAGGGACAATCAACAATAGTGCTGTGAAAGTAACCTTTCGCTTCGGGATGGTATTCCATGACATCTGACAAAGTAAGGCAGCTTGAGCAAGGCAGCTATAATGAAAAGCTCTTCAACATGAGTTTTTAATGTCTCTGAAAAGTGACCATCTTATTACCAAAGAACAATGAAAGTGCTAAAAGATCTTTCAGTGTTCTACCTGATACCAGTTTGCTAACAGAAATCCAGAAGATCCTCAGTTTTCAAACATGTGTAGCAATTAACATTTGTCTTTACCATCTGCTCTTGAGAAGATCCTGGAAGGGCAGTGATCTTAGATTCTCTTATATCCATCACCTTAAGAATTGTGCTGTAAGAAGCAACAACCTTTCCTCTTCCTCCCCGCCATCCACGCCCCCGCCCCCAACAGCTACAAAGCCACCATGCATGAATGCATCTCCATCCACATTGGCTAGGCATCAGCAATGCCTTGTGAGGGCTCTACTATGTAGAACATGGTGTCCAGCCCGATGACCAGATGCCAAATGACCATCATGGGGTGGGAGCGAGATGACTCTTTGAATACTGTCAGTGAGAGGCACTATCAAGCATAAGTCCAGGGGAGTGTTTGTAAACCTAGAACCCACAGTCATTGATGAAGTTCCAGCTGGTACCTACTGCCAGATATTCTACCTTGAGCGGCTCATCACAAGCAAAGGAGATGATCCCAGTAAACACCTGCAAGCACTACACCATTGGCAAGTAGCTTATCAACCTCATCTTGTAACAAATTCAGCAACTGGCTGGCCCGTGCACAGTTTTCAGGGCTTCTTGTTTTCCCACAGCTTGTTGGGAGAACTGGTTCTGGGTTCCCCTCCCTGCTGATAGAAAATCTTCTCGATTATGACAAGAAGTTCAAGCTGGAGTTCTCCATTAGCCAGACCCCCAGGCTTCCACAGCTGTAGTTGAGCCCTACAATTTCATCCACACCGCCCTGGAGCACTCTTTGCATTCATGGTTGATAATGAGGGCATCTACGACACCTGTCATAGAAACCTAAAGATTGAATGACCTACGTGAGCCAACCCGAATAGGTTAATAGATCAAACTGTGTTCTCCACCACTGCTTCCTGCAGATTTGATGGAGCTCTGAATGCTCATCTGAACAAATTCCAGCCCAGCTTGGTGCCCCATCCCCATCCCCACTTCCCTCTGGCCACATATGCCCATCATCTCCGCTGAGAAAGCCTACCATGAACAGCTTTCTGTAGTAGAGATCTCCAATGCGTGCTTTGAGCTAGCAAACCAGATGGTGAAATGTGACCCTCACCATGGTAAATACATGGCTTGCTGCCTGTTCTACTGTGGTGACATGGTTTCCAAAGATGTCAATGGTGCCATTGCCACCATCAAGACCAAGTGCAGCATCCAGTTTGTGGACTGGTGACCCACTGGCTTCAAAGTTGGTATTAATTATCAGCCTCCCACTGTGGTGTCTGGTGGAGACCTGTCCAAAGTACAGCAAGCTGTGTGCATGTTGAGCAACACTTCAGTTATTGCTGAGGCCTGGGCTTGCCTGGACTACAAGTTTGGCCTGACGTACGCCAAGTGTGCCTTTGTCCACTAGTACGTAGGTGAGGGCATGGAGGAAGGACAGTTTTCTGAGGCCCGTGAGCATATGGCTGCCTTTGGAACAATATGAGGATGCTGGTGTGAATTTTGCCAAAGAAGAGGGTAAGGAAGGAGAGGAATGCTACAGTTAAAGTGTCACAACAATGCTGCTTTTACAGGGATACTTATTCTGTGTTAAACATCAAAGGCTGTGGTCTGATCAGTTCATTTGAATGTAGCAGTGTGTATTTATATACAATTACTGCCCTGTGCTTTACAACTCGATGCTTTGTTACTGTTACAGAACCAACCTGTTCATTTCCCTGATGGGTTTGAGAAAAGTCCCCCCAGTCTTAAACTAAAAAAAAAGTAAAAAGAAAGAGTAACAGGTTGCCATAAGGGATGACACTTGTAAAGTTGGAAGACACGGGCCCTGCTTAAAGGTCATGGTCTTGGGAGGTAATCCTCTGTCAACACGTGCAACGTGCAAAGGGGGCTTGCCTTGCACAGTACTTTGCAAGAGTTGTCTCATGCATATGAGTTTGGTTGAAATAAGAAAACTCCAGTCAAAATACTAGCATTATTCATGAAATTATGTTTGTGAATGGCTTGTGCTACTGAAAGTCAAGCTGGCCAAAAGCACTGAAGGTGTGTTTGATAAAGGACTCTACAATGACTAACCTGCTAATCAAAATCCAGGGAATTTGGTTTCCTGTGAGGAGGAGAAATGGGAAAGCAGATTTGACAAAGGTAAGTCAGCAGAAAGGAGCCAAATCAAGAAGCACACTGACTCACCCACTGCCAAGTGTCGGTATCTAATACATACCCAATTAAGGTCGTATCGTTTATTTACCCCTTCCAGAAAAACAGCAATTAGTTTTATCTTCCAAAATCATGACACAAAACATTTTATCTCACCATTTAATCTAAGTAGTTGGGAAAAATTTAGTTGAGATATTTGTCTAATTTCTTGTAATTATTACTCCTAAACATAGCACAATATCTACTTTTTCAGTATATGCTCATATTTTCATTGAAATGTGTCCTGATCAAGCTGGTATTTTTCAAAAAGGCTCATTTATATTTAAATTTACAACATGTCAGAGACACCTGGCACTTCTGATCCTCCTCACTCTATTTTTTCCATAACACTAATCAAATTCTTACATACAAACAAATGGACTTATTTGTATGATTTTTAAAGCTTGTTTCTCTATAAATGGGAACATTTAGTGCTGTTTACATGTATATCTGCTGTACATATATGAAAGTGAATGATTTGCTGAATGAGTGCATGAATGAGTGTGTGAGTGAATGAATGAGTGCGTGAATGAATGAATGAGTGTGTGAATGAGTGTGTGAATGAATGAATGAGTGCCCAATGACATAGAAAGAGCTAGAGAATACCAAAAGTAATCTCAAATAGAGAAGACCTTTTAAACCAAAATTTAAAACCCAAATAAAAAGAGTAAAATGTCTTATGATAAATAACTTAGGGATCTAAGACCAAATTGATTTTTACTCTGTATTTTTGTACTACATTTTTTAAATGTTACTTTTTAATAAAAATTGTTCTATGTTGAAGTGTGTAGTTTTTGTTTCTCTAGCACTCACATTTGTTTTATAGTACCAAGATTACTAAAAATAGGGGAAAGGACTTCTAATTTCTTTTATCTTGTTTATCTGACATATCTTACAGAAGAGAGGAATTGCTCACTTTTTATTTAATATAATAAAACATAGCAGTCCTTCCCCTTATGGTTAATGCTTTTGTTATGGGCTGAATTTCCCCTCCAAAAGGATGAGTTGAAGTCATACTCCCTCATACTTCAGAATGTGACCTCATTTGGAAATAGAGCTGTTGTAGAGGTGACTAGATATGCTGAGGGCATAGGGGAATCGGGCGGGCATTTACTACAATACGACTGATGTCCTTCCAAAGAGAAGAAAATCTGGAAACAGAGACACACAGGGAGAACTCCATGTGATGGACAGAGGCAGAGACTGGGGTGATGAGGCTGCTAGCTAAGTAACATGAAGGATTGATAGCCAGAGATCTTAGAGAGATGTTATACTTACTGCCTTCCAGAAACAATCTGGATTTAGAACTAAATTACAGAGCAATCAACCTAAATAACCAACTGAAAACTAGCTGAAGAGCAGTCTCATAGCAAAGGATGTACGGAAGAAGGCACACCGAGACTGATAGGAAGGATGGAGACACAAAAGTGGCTGGCCCTGCTCCCATTGACAGGCAGCTGAAATTCTGGAGATACTTTAGCTGCAAAGATTCCCCCTGAGAAGCGTGGGATCTCAACCCCCAGTCAGCCTCCCCGGCCCAGAGCACCAGAGCCAGGAAGAGGTGCCCACATGGTTTTCTGGCTATGAAGATCAGCAGAGATTCTGTCTGCTAGGGAAAGAGAAGAGTCTGCTAGAGACACAGGTACCCTCTTAAGGGGCCAATGCACAAAACCTCATTTGCAGCCACTCACCCTGGGCTCTGGTGGAGGGACTAGAGTCCCTGGGCAGAGTGGACTAGAGTTGTGCGAGGAGAGGCTGGGGTTTGTGGCTCTGAGGAGAAAGCTGAAGCAACCGCAGCCAGGATACCTGTAGCAGACACCTTCTTTAGTGTGCAGATCACTCCCTGCCATAGATAACAGACTGGGGGGAAACAATGGCTCTGGACTCCCTGTAGCCTGCCCCTTGGTGCTTGTGCCCTGCTGAGGAGTCAGCTGCCTGGCCTGGGGTGTAGAAGTCTGGGCAGACTCAGGGGGTGTTAGTGACTGAGCTGTGTGGCTTTGGGGTTGGGACTATTTCCCCCACTTTCCCATGAACCTGACTGGGCCTCCCCCTCACAGAATACCCGCTCTCCTACTCTCTAGACAACCCCTCTCCTGATTCCTGGTGGTTCTGCCCTGCCAAGGTCTGGGTGGAATCCAGGATAGGCTGAGGTGTGTGGCTCTGGTGTGGGAACCACTCCCCACACTTTCCTCCAACCCTGACCAGCCCTGTGCCTCACTGGAAACCCACTGGCTACATCCTTCCTACTCCTGGAAGCCCCACGCTGCTGAACATGGTATATGCTTCACTTATTTGTATCTTCTTCAGTTTCTTTTCCAGTATCTTATAATTCCAAGTACAGGTTTTCTACATTCTTGGTTAAATTTATTCCTACATATTTTTGAGGTGCAATTGTAAATGAGATTGCTTTCTTAGGTTCCCTTCCTGCTAGTTCATTACTGGTGTATAAAATGTAACTGATTCTTGGATATCTACTTTGTATCCTGCTACTTCACTGAATTCGTTCAATTTTAGTAGATTTTTTTCTTGGAATATTTAGGGTTCTCTCTATATAGTATCATGTCATCTGTATATAAATTTTACTTCTTCCTTCCAATTTGGATGCCTTTTTATTTTTTCTTGTCTGATTGCTATGGTTAGGACTTCCAGTGCTATGTTGAATGAAAGTGATAAAAGTGGATATCCCTGTCCTGTTCTTGAACTTAAGAGAAATCTTTTAGTTTTTGCCCATTGAATATGATACTGGCAGTGGATTTGTCATATATCGCTTATATTACACTGAGGAATGCTCCTTCTCTTCCCTTTTTCCTGAGCGTTTTTATCATAAATGGGTGCTGGATTTTATCAAATGCTTTTTCTGCATCTATTGATATGAACATGTGTTTTTATCTTTTGTTTATGTGGTTTGTCACATTTATTAAGATGTGGATATTATAGCAAACTTGCATCCCCAAAATAAAGCCCACTTGATCAGGTGTATGCTATTTTAATGTATTGCTGGATTTGATTTGCTAATATTTTGTTGATGATTTTAGCATCTCTGTTCATCAGGGATATTGGCCTATTATTTTCTCTCTTAGCAGTGTATCTGGTTCTGGAATTAGGATAATGCTGGTCTCATTAAATGAACTTGGGAATCTTCTCTCTTCTTGAATTTTGGAATAGTTTGAGAAGAATAGGTGTTAATTCCTTTCTGAATGTTGGGTAAAATTCACTTGTCAAATTATCCAGTCCAGTATTTTGGTTTGTTGGAAGTTGGTTTTTTAAAATATTTTATTTCTCTTTCTTTATTTTTAGAGAGAGAGGAAGGGAAGGAGAAAGAGAGGGAGAGAAACATCAATGTGTGGTTGCCTCTCACATGTCCCCCAATGGGGACCTGGCCCGCAACCCAGGCATATACCCTGACTGGAAATTGAACTGTGACCCTTTGGTTCACAGCCCATGCTCAATCCACTGAGCTACACCAGCCAGGGTGGTTTGTTGGAAGTTTTTTGATTACTGCTCTAAGTTCATTAGTTGTAATCTGTGTATTCAGATTTTCTGATATTTCCTGATTTAGTTTGGGAAGATTGTATGTTTCTAGGAATTTCTCCATTTCATCCAGGTTGTCCAATATGTTCACATATAGTTTTTGATATTTGCTTATAGGCTTTTTGTATGTGTGTGTGTCAGTTGTTACCTCTCCTCTTACATACCTGATTTTATTTATTTGGGTTCTCACTCTGCTTTTCTTGATGAGTCCAGATAAAGTTTTGTCAGTTCTTGTTCATCTTTTCAAAGAACCAGCTTCCAGTTTCATTGATCTTCTGTACTGTTTCTTAGACTCTATTTTGTTTATTTCTGACTTTATTATTTCCTTCCTTCTACCACTTTGGGCTTTGTTTGTTTTTCTTTTTCAAGTTCCTTTAAGTGTAAAATTATATTGTTTATCTTTAGAATTTTTTTGTTTCTTAAGGTAGGCCTGTAATGTTATGATTTTCCCTCTCAGGACCTCTTAGGACCACTTTTGCTGTGTCCCATTGATTAGGGATTTTTATGTTCTCATTTTCATTTGTTTCAAGGTATAGTTTGATTTCTTCCTCGATCTCATTGCTAATTCATTCATTGTTTAATGACATGGTTTTTTTGGCCTACATGTCTTTGTGTGTTTTTCAGTTTTTCTCTTGTGATTGATTTCTAGCTTCATACATTGTGGTCAAAGAGAATATTTGATATGATTTCAATCCTCTGAAAGTTATTAAGATTTTTTTTGTGTCCTAACATGTAATCTATTCTAGAAAATGTTTCATGTGCTGTTGGGAAGAATGTATATTCTTCTGCTTTGGGATGGAATGCTATGAATATATCAGTTAAATCCATCTGATCTAGTAAGTCATTTAAGGCCATTGTTTTTTTGTTGTTGTTGTTCATTTTCTGTTTGGAAGATTTACCCATTGATGTCAATGGGGTGTTAAAATCCTCTATTATGACTGTGTTACTGTCAGTCTCTTCTTCTACACTGATCAAGATTTGCTTTATATCTAAGTGTTCCTATGTTGGGTGTGAAAATGTTTACAAAGGTTATATCCTCTTGTTGGATTGCTCCCTTTACTATTATATAGTGTCCATCTTTGTCTCTTACTGTAGACTTTGTTTTAAAGTCTATTTTGCCAAGTGTAAGTATTGCTACCCCACTTTTTTATTCACTTCCATTTGTATGAAATCCTTTTGCTTTTATTCTGTGTGTACCTTTCATTCTGAAGTGGTTCTCTTGTAGAGAGTGCATATACATACACCTTATTTTCTTATTCATTCAGCTATCATATATCCTTTGATTGGAGCATTTAAGCCATTTACATTTTAAATGATTATTGATAAGTACATATTTATTGCCATTTTGTTCTTTTAACAATATTTCTCTGTTGTTTTTCTTCTTTTCAAAGAAGACTCTTCAATATTTCTTAAAATACTGATTTGGTGGTAACAAACTCCTTTAGCTTTTTCTTATCTGAGAAACTATTTATCCTTCAATTTTAAATGATAGTTTTGCTGGGTAATGTAGTTCTTAGTTGTGGGTCACTGATTTTCATCACTTTGAATATTTCATGCCAATCTCTTCTGGCCTACAAGGTTTTTGTTGAGAAATCAGCTGACAGTATTATGGGAGCTCTCATGTAGATAACTAACTTTTTTCTTTTGCTGCTTTAAAAATTCTTTTTGTCTTTAACCTTTGCCATTTTTATTATGATATATTTTGGTGTGGACCTTTTTGAGTTCATCTTATTTGGGACTCTCTGTACTTCCTGGACTAGTGTGTCTTTTTCCTTCACCAGGTTAGAAAAGTTGTCAGTCATTATTTCACAAATATGCTCTCAATTTTCGTGCTCTGTCTTCTTCTGGTACCCTTATGATGTGGATATTGTTATGCTTCTTGCTGTCCCAATGGTCCCTTAAACTATCCTCATTTATAAAAATTTATTTATCTTTTTCCTGTTCTGATTGGGTGTTTTTGCTACCTTGTTTTCCAAATTGCCGATTCATTCTCTGCTTCATCCAACCTACTGTTAATGCCTTCTAGTGTATTCATTTCACATATTGTATTCTTTATTCTGACTGGTTCTTTTGAATGGTTTCTATGTCCTTTTTAAAAAATACTTTATTTATTTGTTTTTAGAGAGAGGGGAAGGGAAGGAGAAAGAGTGGGAGGAAAACATCAATGTGTGATTGCCTCTCATGTGTCCCCTACTGGGGACCTGGCCCGCAACCCAGGCATGTGCCCTTACCGGGAATTGAACCAGCAACCC